GGCAGGGGGACAGATCGTGCCTCTGCCACATGCAGAGGGCTCGTGGGGCCGCTCACCCCCTCGGGGGCTGTGCTTGGGCTGCCCCAGACTGGCTGGAGGCAGCTCCGAGGTGAGGAGAACACCTCTGGGGGGAACAGCTGCTGAAGGAGCCCCCGGAGACGGGAGCTGCCCTGGGGCTGTGCGGCTGGATGGGAGCAATTCCCGATATTCGGTGTCAGAACTGGACCCAGGGCCATCCCGAGGGGATTTGGTGGCAGCAGCAGGGAGGCAGGGGAAGGTCAGGGCTGTGTCACCACACGGGTCCCTCTGCAGCCTGTGACAGGCTCACAGCAGGGTTTGGGGTCACATCCAGCTGTTCCTCGGTGTGGGATAAGCATTCACCCCCGGGAATGGCAGGAGGAAGAGCAGATCCCATCGACCCCGGTGGGAAGGGGCAGCACCCCAGCTGATGGGCACTGTCACCTCCTCGCCTTGGCACCCCGGGACCAGCCTCCTGTTCCTGTGGTGCCAAAGCACATCCGAGAGCTCCATCTCCTGGTCACGGAAACCACGGAGGAGCAGCGGAACCAGGAGCTCTCGTTGAGCATTTCGGGCTAAAGCGGCTCCGTCCTGCCAGGTGCCCGAGGAGCAGGATGGACACCCCCAGAAGGAGAAAAGCGCTGATTTTCCCACTCTAATTCAAGAAAAGCAAGCTCGGGGGAAGATGGAAAAGCTTGTGTTCCTTTTAAAAATCTTGGATTCCCTTGAAGTTTTCCAATTTTTCCAGCTGTTTGAGTTTATTTTGACAGCATGCAAGTGGATATAACCCAGGGCCCAGGACTCTTGGGCCTTCCACCACCAGTGCAGCCCTGGAAAATTAATTTTTCTTCACTGAGATTCTTCTTCAGCTGGGAATATCTCCCTGGGCTGGGATCAAACATGGATTTACTCTTCTCCTGCCTTCACCTCATTGCCAGCAATGCCAACACTCGCTGTGTTTGAGCTGGGGCTGGGAAAGGTGGGAGGAGAATGAGTTGAACAGAAATTCCTATAAAACCTCAGGTTTTCAGGTTGAACATGGCCAGGGGAAAAGCTGAGGGGGGTTTGGGAGGACTGGGTGTGAGCTGGGAGGGATGGGGCAGGCACCAGGCACCCCCAGAGGGATGGGGAAAGGGTGCAAGAGGATCCAGTGTGGGAAGGATGGAGGAGGCAGCCTCCCTTTACCTCTGCCCTGCCCTGCCCTGGGATACACTGGGGCCACTGGTCAGGGCCAGCACCCAGCACAGCCACCCTTCCATGGAGCATTCACAGCTCTGGGACAGGAGAGCATGGACACGGGCATGGTGGGCCCTCAGCAGCTGGTGGCAATGGCTCATTGACACAATTCCCAGGGCACAGACCTCACCCAGCCCAGCCCTGCCACGCTGGGGGTTGTGCCTGCATGGCAAAACTGCCACCAAAATTCCACCTGGGATTGTCTCCCCAGGCTACTGGCCCCAGCTGAGGGCAGGGATGTGGACACTGAAACACTCCTGGTTCATCATTCAGCATCCAAGGAACTGCAGAGTGGATTTGATATGGGAATACTGGGACCTGTAGTGATTTTTTGCCTGGCACCAGGCTCAGATGTGGAGTAACCTTGTGGCTTGAAATGTGCTTTGAAAAGAAACACTTTCACATAATTCATTGTCCCTCCTCCACACCCGGCCAGGGGAAGGTTTGGGTGCTACTGTGGAGCTCCAGGGCTGTCTCTGCATCCTCCTGTCTTTGCCAAAGGCTTCAAAGCTCTTCCCAGATGCTGCTGGGGTTGCAGGGAAGGGACCTTGGCCACCCCAAACCCTTCAGCGAGGGCTGTGTCCTCCTCTGGGTCAGAAATATCCTTTGGTCACTGGCAGCCACCAACCTCAGCACAGGGAAAGTCTCATCTGTGGTCTCTGGAGAGGAGCTGAGCCTGGAGCCACTTTCCTGCTTGGATCTGAGGATCCTGGAGTCTTGGCTTGAGGGGACTGAACCACTGGCCATGAGCTGCACTTGTTAAAACCTAGGGAAAGAAAATACAGGCAGTGTTTAGGGACTTGCTTCACCCATGAATTTGATTTCTTGTCCTTCAGGCACTGTCAGACTCAGCCTTGTCCCTCAGGAAATGTTCTGCTGCTGGAAGTGAGGGAAAGGCACTGAGGAGAGCCAGACCTGGGAAAGAGTGAAACTGCTGACAGAGCTGGGGCTCTGATATGCCCAAATCCCTTTGATTTTGGCGTGGTCCAAGCAGCAAAGGGAGGCAGACTCGTTTTTCCAGTGCCTATGTATAGAGCCATGAGCTCATAGTTTCCAACTGCAGAGAGCATTCAAAGTATGGGAAACAGGAATTTCCACCCCACCTTGGTGCCAGCAGGGAGCAAACCGGGCTTTGGCTGCCCCAAATCTGCTCTCACTGGCCCAGATCACTCACAGGAGATCTGTGTGGCTGCAAGCAGCCCTGGCACCTCCAACAGCTTTCAGAGGCAGCAGGGGATGGGGATGTCTGTCCCAGCAGGGGATGGGGATGTCTGTCCCAGCAGGGGATGGGGATGTCTGTCCCAGCAGGGGATGGGGATGTCTGTCCCAGCAGGGGATGGGGATGTCTGTCCCAGCAGGGGATGGGGATGTCTGTCCCAGCAGGGGATGGGGATGTCTGTCCCAGCAGGGGATGGGGATGTCTGTCCCAGCAGGGGATGGGGATGTCTGTCCCAGCAGGGGATGGGGATGTCTGTCCCAGCAGGGGATGGGGATGTCTGTCCCAGCAGGGGATGGGGATGTCTGTCCCAGCAGGGGATGGGGATGTCTGTCCCAGGAGGGGATGGGGATGTCTGTCCCAGCAGGGGATGGGGATGTCTGTCCCAGGAGGGGATGGGGATGTCTGTCCCAGGAGGGAAGGTGCAACCCCAGTCCTGGCACAGCCTCCCTGGAGAGGTTTCACCTTTATTTTCAGATCCTCTCAGCAAAACTGGGATAACAAATTGAGCAGCCCGACCCCTGAGGCTGAGAGGTGAGGGAGGTGTTGATGTGCTCAGGGTGTCCTTGCAGGGAGGGATGAGGATTCAGGGCCCCAGAGGATACCCCTGAGGGCACCAGGGTGCCCTGGTGGTGTTGCACCCACACTTGTCTTTCCAGAAACCAGCCGTGTGTTGTAAGCCCTGCACTGATACTGCTGCCCACGCCCGAGCCCTGCCCCAGCCCTGCCCGGCCCCCAGAGGCACCGCAGAGCCTTTCTCCTTGGGCTTTGGGTACAGGGGTCACCTGCAGTTCCCTGTGTCCCCCAGAGCCCAGGGCAGCTCCCTGGAGCCGGGAATGTCGCTGCAGAGCAGCTCCCATGAGAGACAGCCTGGGGGAGAGAGGGGAGGGGGCTCGGGGGAAGGATGAGGGCAGGGTAAGGATGGGGTGGTGCAGGTGAGGAGCCCGGTCCCGGTGCAGGACCTGCTGCAGCATGTGCAGCTCACCCAGCCCTGCAGCTCCAGAGGGTCCCAGCACCCCTGCAGTGCCGGATTCCTCGGACTGACCCCACAGCGGCGAGCGGGGACACGGAGGAAGGCAGGACCGTGCCTCCCGTCCCTGCCCCCGACGCCTGACGCCGGCTCCTCGCCCACTCCCTGGCCAAGCGGGCCACGGGGAGCCCTTTAAAGGGCGAACGGGTTCCTCCGCATTCACTCCGCGGGAGCTGTCCCTGCCCTGTCCCTGCCCTGTCCCTGCCCTGTCCCCGCTGCAGCCTCTGCAAGACGCGCTCTGCTCGCAGCAGCCGGCACCTGGTGGCCCCAAGGTGGCCCCACGGTGGCCCCAAGGTGGCCCGAGGAGGTCCCGGTGGTGTCCCGGGCCAGCCCCGTGTCTGGGGACAGCCGTGCATGGAGGGGCCGCTGCCCCGGGACCCTACAGCAGGTAAGGGGATTTTGGGGCACGGGGGCTCCTTGCGGAGCAGCAATCCCCGATAAAGCACAGCAGGAGCCTGGATCTGTTCTGTGCCTGGGGAGGGGACGGCTCGTGGTGTCCTTGTGGCCGTGCCGGGGTGGAGGAGGAGGAGGAGGAGGGCAGCCCGGCAGGGGATGGCAGAACCCCCAGACGGGCTGGGAGGGTGTCTGGCACAGTCATGTGGGAGGAAAGTGCTGCAGGCTGGGTGGGCTCTGAAAACATCGCCAGGTCTGGAAAAACCTGCAGTTGTGATGAAGTTCCTGAGCTGGTCTGAGAGAGCTGAGATGAACATCTCCCCTCTCCCTTCTCTTCTCTGCCCTCTCCCTTGGTGCCCGGGGAGATACAGGGCAGAGCTGCAGCCTGTCCTGGGGCACAGAGCACCCCACACTGCCCTGCTCTGGGGCCAGGGTGGCTGGGCTGGGCTGGCTCTGCCTTCCCTCCTCTCTGACTAACCCTGACACGGCCTTGCTGTGGCCAGCTCCAGCCTGAGCCTGCAGATGCCATGGCCTGGCCACCACCATGGCCTGGCCACCAGCCCGGGTCATCCCCCACAGCCTGGAAGGAACCCGGTGTGGGTGTTTGCTGCCTGCCCTGGCTGTGTCACCTCCTTTTCCACCCCCTGCTCCACCAGCCTGGCTTCTCCAAGCTCCCTGAGGTCCCCGGGATGGGAGCATCTCCCCGTCCTTGGCAGGTTCCATCATGGGATCGGAATTCCCAGCTGGCAGCAGCACTGGTGATACAGTCTGTGCCTGGAATGGCACAGCACCAGGAGTTCTGTACAGGAATTCAGCGGGTTCGGCTCCATCCAGGGGCTCAGCCCTCTGCTCCGGCGGTTTTGCAGCCAGGGATTATTGCCCTGGAGGGCTCCGGAGCTGAGATCCTCCCACCCTCCGTCCCTCGCCCCAGGGACAGCTTGAACCTGCTCCGGTGGTCCGGCCGTGCCAGGCTCCCGTGAGGGTGAACAAGAGAGCAGGGAGGAGGAGGAGAGCTGAAGGGATGGGCTGTGCTAATCACCAGCCCCTGATTAACCCCTCGTGCCTCTCCCTGGCAGCCGGGGAGCTCCCGCGGCCACCGCAGCAGGGATGTCCGAGAGCTCCTCCAGCAAGGAGGGTGCCCCGGGCGAGTGCCCCGTGTGCTACGAGAAGTTCCAGCCCCTGGAGGCCACGCACCGGCGCCTCAGCTGCGGCCACACGTTCTGCCACGACTGCCTGGTGAAGTGCCTGCTGTCGGCCAAGCTGGACGGGCACGTCCAGAGCAGCATCATCTGCCCCGTGTGCCGCTTCGTCACCTTCCTCAGCAAGAAGAAGGCTCTGTGGCCGCCCGGGGCGGGCACCAACCCCCGGACGCTGGAGATGCCTCTGTCGCCATCCTCCTTGTCCCAGCTGGCCAAAAGCCAGGCCAGCAACACGCTGGTGGTGCCCAGTCACTTCGTGATGCCGGTGCAGAGCCTGGAGCGGTGCTCGGCGGGGCTGCCGGGGGTGCTGGCACGGGAAGCTCACATCTTTGTCATCAGCGACCACGGGATGCCGCTGGTGGCCACGGACTGCGGCTCCCTGGGCAGGAGGAGCTCGGTGTCATCCAGCCCGGCCCTGGGGCTGCAGTGCTGCCAGTCCCCCATGGCCCTGGCCGTGATGCTCGTCCTGACCGTGGCCATGCTGGCGGCCGTGCTGCCGTGGCTGCTGCTGGTCAGGAGGGACTTGTAGCAGGGATGGGGACACCGGAGTGGTGGCACTGCTGCTGGGACACGGCTGGGGCCGGAGCCTCTCTCTGAAGGCTCCTGGAGAAAGCCCAGAAGCAGCTTCGGGTGAAGTTCTCTTGTCTGGCCAGGGACCAAATGGACTTTCAGACCTTCCTGAAGATCTCCAGGTGCTCGCGGTGTCACTGGTGGCATTTCTGTCCCTTTTGGCTAAAATCCGGCAGCCCAAACCCTGCTGGTGGCTTCCTCCAGGGTGTCTGTGGAGAGGATCCCCCTGCACCCTGTGACAGCGCCTGCAGGGGCCGAGGGTGCTGCTCCTGCTCTGGGACTGCGGCACCAGGCACAGCCGAGGGCTCTGGGGTCAGGGCTGCCAGGCTGTGGGGCTGCTGGAGGTCCCCAAGCTCCCAGGACATCGGGATCACCGTGATGCAGCCAGCCTGGAGCAGAAACTCACGGCTTCCATCCCAGGGATGGGGAAATCAGAGCCTGCAGCTGCCGGGGGCAGTAAAACCAGAGGATGGAGAGAAGGATGCTGGCCCTGCTGAGCTCACCCTCCCCTCTGCCAGCCTCCCTGCAGTGCCATGGCTGGGAAGGGAGGCCAGCTCATCCCACAGGCAGTCCCAGCCGTGCCCTCCCTCACCTCTCTCTGAGCTCGCCATCCTCCCATTGTCACAGCATCCCTCCTGCCCGGGGGACCCAGGGACAGGGGCTGGGAGTAAACCCAAGTTCTGGCCATCAGAAGGGGGCAGATTTGGGATCCTGCCCTGCTGTCCTTGCTAGAGCCCCTTGGCAGAGTGACATTTCCTTGTCCCTGGATGCCCTCCTGAGATCTCACAGCCAGGAGCTCATTTTCACCTGCGCCAAACAGCCTGGGCACTTCTCAGCCCCTCAAACCTCCTGGCTTTGCCCTCTTTGGGACTGCTCCCACCTGAGGGGACCCCAGTGTCAGCCCCCAGCCCAGGGCCCTGCTTTGGGAGGGCAGTGGGCAGCAGGGAGGCTCAGCTGGGATTTGGGAAGCTCTGAGCCTGCTCTTGGGTGCTGGACACCCCTGCTGGTGCTGGGGTCACTCATGGCATTGTCCCCAGCCCAGTCTGCACCTGCATCACCTTTGTCCTCCTGACCCAGTCCCTGGCCCTGTAGGTGCTGCTCTCACTCTGTCACCTGGGAATGTGTCACTTCATGGGCACCCCAGTGTGAGCAGAGTGTCCCTCACTGTCCCCCAGTGTGAGCAGAGTGTCCCTCCCTGTCCCCCAGTGTGAGCAGAGTGTCCCTCCCTGTCCCCCAGTGTGAGCAGAGTGTCCCTCCCTGTCCCCCAGTGTGAGCAGAGTGTCCCTCCCTGTCCCCCAGTGTGAGCAGAGTGTCCCTCCCTGTCCCCCAGTGTGAGCAGAGTGTCCCTCCCTGTCCCCCAGTGTGAGCAGAGTGTCCCTCCCTGTCCCCCAGTGTGAGCAGAGTGTCCCTCCCTGTCCCCCAGTGTGAGCAGAGTGTCCCTCCCTGTCCCCCAGTGTGAGCAGAGTGTCCCTCCCTGTCCCCCAGTGTGAGCAGAGTGTCCCTCCCTGTCCCCCAGTGTGAGCAGAGTGTCCCTCCCTGTCCCCCAGTGTGAGCAGAGGGTCCCTCACTGTCCCCCACGGGAGGTGACA